TTTTGGTGTTTGCTTTTTGGTTGGCTCCTCTCTCTGTCCTTTGTTGGTTTCCCTCCCCCCGCGGTTTGTCCTTTTTGGTGCTCTGGTCCAGTTTGGTTTGTTTGCTGGTACCTCCCTCTGAGTATCTGGTTGCAGCTGTGACGGCTTAGTTGCCCTGCCTTCGTGCTGGGAGTGTGGTTGTGCTCTGTCATCCTTCCGTCAAATGTCTCATGGCAGCAAAGGCTAATAGCCCTGTGTGGGGTTTTCACCCTCTACACCATGTTGCAGATGATGTCTGGGAGCTTAGTTTGGCCACACTGAGGTATTCATCAGGATGATGATCCAGTTCCCACATTGGACTCCGCTAAGCTGCCCTATTGCTATTCTAATGTGATTGGTGCAGCCTTCTCCGCCCCTGTCCTCCTCTGCCACCCCGGCACCCCCCTCCTGTTTGTGTGTTGCTTGGTCTTTTTGTCCGGTTCTGCTCTTGCTTGGCCACCCTTTGCCGTTTGCGTCTCTGTTGGGACTTATGTGCCCTCCCTTGCTTGTCTACCCTCCCCTGCTCTCACTCAGGTACGAACGAATGGAGCTTAGAGTTGAGTGTACGAACATCGTTGACTTGTTTGAGTAAGTTTGTTTACTTTAGGTACTGACTGGAGAGGCACTGACACAGCATCCGTGTGACCCACTAAGGTTACTCAGGACGGCCAATTAGTTTGGTGCCCATAGGGCCCGTCTTTTTGCTTTGCCCTTCTGGCTGACTTGACCTTTCTCTCTTTAAGGGGCTTTCTTCTCAATTGGTTTTGCATTCGTTTGTTTCTTCTGGGTCTCCTTGGTATGTCCTCTGTCTGGGTACTCTACATGGGTAGCTGCATCCATCCGAGAGGGGCGGTAGATAGCCGGCCGATGCCATGGACCAGACTGTGCTGCAGTGAGCTTCACCGGTGCACTCCGGTGGTGCTCCCTGTAGGACAGTCTGGGGCGCCCGCGAGCAGCACAAGACTGCCAACATGGTTCGTCAATTGGTAGAAGAATTGTGGTGATTCTGTAGCCTGCCTATTCTGTGGGTGAGTGGCATTACGGCCTTGGTCTCGCTACAATCTTCTCCTGTGCATACTGCAATGCACTGCAGGTCTTTCAGGGACGATGACATCCTGAAATGTCCTGAACAGTTCTGTAGTTTGTATGTTTTGCGAACCTACATCAAAGAGAGCTACGCTGCCTAAGACAGCACTTGTATGGTGGAACTTGCGAATACAAATTTGCGAATACAATGGTTTTTTGCATGCCTCTCAGGTTTGCGAGTATTGCCTAGGAGCTTCGCTGGCTGAGACCAATCAATCTGATGGCTGCACCTTCCCCTATGAAACTAGGGGCATGCTGGGTATTGGCGATGGTATTTTGGAAGCTTTTCCCTGGCCTGCATCGCTTCCCGTATGCCATCACAGTCCACCCCCCCCTCTGGGGGGGGATCTGACTTTTTCAACATCACGGCTTCGTGGTTACGGTTGACAGATATAGTGACGACTCTGTCCATGGAGGCCCTCTGACGAGCTGATCTGAGAGGACGCTGAGAGATGCTTAATTAGTAGCCCTGCTTTCGTGTACAGCTTGGCACATGATTGAGCAAACTTACACAAGCTCTAGCCTTCTTGTTTGCCCGAAAGCCGTGATATTAATTCATTTGGCACGTTTTTGCGAGTGATGCAGTGGACAAGCCACTGCGTCTCACGGCAAATCGATTTTGTGGGTGTTCTGGTTGGGCTCTGGCCCCGTTTGTGTTGTTTTTGTGTTTTTGCTGTTTGCTTTGTTTTTCCGCTGGCGAAACGCAAGTCTGGCTGGGGGATTTGCGGGTCGTCGTGTTGGTTGGTTTTTGTGGTTGTGTGTGGTTTTATCGATTTGCCTGCCCCATTGGACATGATTTGTCCTTTGTACAAATATCTTTTCTGCTTATGCTCATGTAAGGACCGAGCCTTTAGCGCGACATCGGCCACACACGAGGAAAAAAAATACTTTTCGTCTTCTTTGAGTACTTTGATTGCACGGAGAATACAATGAGGATTTGAATTTGATAGTGACATGGAAAATCAAACCATTTTCCATATGTTTTGTTTGTTTTTGCCGGCAGAAGTGCACGAAGGAATCGTGAGAAGATCGTAGAATTCATTTTGTGACTTCGGAAGAAGGAACTTTGTTTGACATTGATCGGAGAAGTTTAGTTTGTTTTGTCTCTCAATGATGATAGCGAGAGCAACGTTCTGAAAGGCATTCAGAACCAGAGTTGCCAACAGATCTGAGGGAGACATCATGAATCATGTTTTGGTGCTTGAAATGTTTCAACAGTTTTCAAACACTCAAACTTATTTACAAACAAACCATGTCTTGATGTAAAGACTTTTTGTGAGGACATGTGTTTTTGATCGCTTTTGTGAAGTTGACAGAAAGATGTCAACTGGCGACTTGAACGACCTGGCGGAAGCATGTTTGTGTCAAGGCGTGACACACCAACAAGAACCATAGCGACATGAGCAAGACACCCTTGTTTTGTGGTTGTGTAAAGTGGCTGAGCTCTGGGAGTGGTTGACTTAAGGACGACGTCCTAGACGCTGACCCAAGTAGGTTTCGAAGGTTGCAGTACCTTCTGCATGGTAGCGGAGCTGCCTGCTTGCAGCTCGTAGAGGCGTAGTAGGAATGGATCCAGGTAATGTGAGCCAAGGTGTGCAAGGATGTCCTAGTCCTGGTATGGCTGAAAGAGGTGAAGGAAATGGTGGTTGTAACCGTGGAGACGGATTGCCACCTGGCACCGGAAATGGTGGTTGTAACCGTAGTGACGGATTGCCGCCAGTGCCTAGAACGCCTAGTCAGCAAGGTAGTGGATCTGGGACGGATGGACAAACACCTGAAACAAGTAACATGCTCCAGCAGCAGCCACAGCAACAACAAGCAAATGTGTCACAGAACGTACAGGGATTTGCGAGCACGACAAACCTGGATGCAAGTGGTCAAGGGTATCCGGTGCAGGGATGTCAACAAGGAAACATGCCCGTAATGCAAGGACAAGGACCAGCATGGTTTGGTGCGCAATGGATACCCCAACAACAAACGTTTATGCAACAGAATTCGCAAGCGTGTGTGCCAAGTTTTGGTTGTGCGAGTATGCCTGGTGGACCAAGGTCTGGAAGTTTTCCAAACTTAGGAGTGAACCCAATGAGTTGCCAAGGAAACATGTCGAGTGGCCCGGTTGGAGCGAGCTTGGGAGGTTTGACGCCTCAGGCGGCGCAGATCCAAGAGGTCATGGCCATGTTAGGTAGCATGAGTGAGGGACAGCTACAGACAGTGCAGCAGCATATGCAAGATCGTTTTGTAACTATGCAACAGAGAGTTTAATGTACTTGTTCATTGTGTTTTGCAAGGAACTTCTTTGTGTTTCTATTCCATTTTGGCTCAAGGACTTTCATTTGTGCGTATACATTTTTCGTTTTTGTCTGCTCAGCCAACAGTTTTCTTTGGACATCTGTAGCAGGCATTGACATTGATCAGTTGCGTTTTTCCTGTCGTGCAGATATTTTCAGAGTTTCATGTTTTTTCGTTTTGGATTCACAGACACCGGGCGGTCCCGGGCGGCATGGACGGAGCGACGGTCTCGGTGTTATCACTAGAACAGTTGATTACTGCACTTCTCCTCATTGTCAACGAGTTGTGCCATCGATTTCGTATCCCTTTATCTTCAGCATCATCTGTACCATTACAAACTACACCTGATTTGGAAAATCTTTCAGGGTCACCCATCCCCGAACGTGGATCGTGTGGTGCAAAGTGTCGCTGGTGTGATTTACCCTGTGGACGTGCAAAGCCTGGTCATACAGGGCATAGTTGCTATACACATCGGCATTGGCGTGATGGATAATTCCATGGATGGTTGGTCACTGGTACAGAGTGTTGAGGGTTCATGGGACACGAGTTCAGTGATTTCACCGCCGTTGCATTCCAGGCCGAAGTCTGCTCCATTGCAGCGTGCACCTCTACATCAAGGTCCTCGCCTGGTGTCTCCCTTCCAAGTGTCTGCATTGCATCCGGTGGTCACGAGCACTATGGGGTGTTCGGGACAGTCTTCAGCTCAGCGACATCCAGGTATCCTGAGGGTTTCAGATTTAAACCAGGGGGGTAATGTTCCCCCCCCCCATCCATTTCCTGTTGATTCTATTCGCATTGTACCTGGGGTTACTCCTTTACAAATTCCCCCAGAAAATTTACCTGTGATTCGGAGCTGGACGACGTTGCAACAGAGAGTTGCGCTACCTCAGCCTCAAGGATGTTTGGGTTATGCAGAGTCAGTACCAGTTGATTTTGTGCCTAATAGGCCTTCTCCAACGTTACTGCATCCTCCCAGACGTCAATCCGGGGCTATTAGCAGAGTTCGTTTTTCCAGTGCTTCACCGGTGCTCTGTCAGATGTGGTTTGAATTGTTATCACAGCTGGGCCCACTATCCAGAATTTGGCAAGAGACGAGTATGTCACAGCATCAACGTATGCATTTGAACCGAATTTTGGACAATGTGGCACCTGGCACGGCTATGAAGTATATTTCCAGTTGCAAGTCCTTTTTCAAGACCTGCAAAGCGTTACAGGTGGATTTGATATCCCTTACTGAGGTTCAATTGGCAGACATTTTAATCACAATGTCACTGTCTAGATCTACATCTCATGGCAGTAGTTCTTGCAGTTCGGTCATCAAAGCGCTTCGATGGCTATTGAAATCAGCAGAGGTGGGTTGTTTACAGGTGGTGCATTCAGTTCTTATTGGAACCTTTCTGAACCAGAAGGTGCCCAGGGACAGGAAACAAGCACCTCCTCTGCCTCTGTGGGCATTGGTGCAGTGGGAGCGTCGTGTGCTCATGTCCAACTGCACGGTATTGGAAACTATTTTACTGGGTACATTTTTATTGATGGCCTGGGGATCCCTTCGTTTTTCCGACGCGCAAAGGTTAGACCTCCAAAAGATCATCTATCACGATGGTACCATGAGAGGGGTGATATGGCGCTCCAAGACAGCAGTCAGCGGCATGCCCCTAGCAGTGGCGGCGGAGGGTTTCCTCAGCAAAGGCTCCCACAACTGGTTGTGGAAGTTCTTGACCGTTTTGGATACGGTATTGGCCAAATCAGGCCTCTCTGATGTTGATTTTCTTCTTCCACTGATGGACGAGGATGGACCAACTTATCCATTGCAACCGATGGACTATGCCACAGCGTTATTTTACTTACGGAAATTTTTGGGTTGCCCATGGAGTCAAAGGCCAGATCCCTTGCAGCATTTGAAGTTAAACTTCACTTTGCACTCCCTCAAAGCGACGTTATTGTCGTGGGGACCGCAGCTGCATGAAAAGGTTACCCCGGAACAGCGTTTGTCTCAGGGACACCATTCGGATCCCAATAGCAGTTTGGACACATACTCACGTGACGTGGTGTGGACGTCCTTGACGTATCAGCGCAAGATGATACAAGAGGTTCAGAGTGGATGGCGTCCAGCCATTGCCCAACATCGGGGTAGTCAGGCTCCTATGGTCGAACCCAAGGTTGTTTTGGAGAAATTTGTCAAATCTCTCCCGCAGTTTGATTTTCAGTGGTTTCAATTCAATGCGTCCTCTGAGACACCAGCTCCAGATTTTTTGGAGTCATCGACCAGCAGTTCTGAGAGTTCATCGGATTCATCGTCGGATGACGAGGTTATGGAGCCTCGACCCAAGACTTCCAAGGTGAACGTGGTACCTTTGGATGTCGATGAAGTCCTGGTGGGACGATATCGATCAGTTGTGCATGCACTAGTGCGCGCCGGCGATGATGAAGATTGGCGTCCTCGGTGGCACGGACAGCCTCTCAAACCTGCCTGTGGTAGGCAAATGCGTGGTGTGGCAGCCGAGATCTTGGATAGACTCGACTCGACTATGCCGTTCTGCCAGCATGCAGCATGCAGGAAGGTTTGGCACACTTGTCAGCTCCTGCAAGGATCTGGATAGATCCTATTCCAAGCGGTATGAAAAATTTTGCGCTTGGAGTTTTCGCCCACGGGTCGGTGACCTGTTGGGTGCAGTTGGTCTTTCCCTGGTAGGGTTAACCGAGTAAGTCCATATTGGGTATTTTTTGCGTTATTTTCCCCTCTTTTTACTTAGGGAGGGATTCAGATTCTTGTACAATAGGGGATGGTATCCCCTAACATGTCAACGGTGTTGGCATCACATTTCAACCGGTGGTTGAAGGGTTACTCACGGTGTGAGTTGAAATGACAGGTTGTCATGTTATATTCAACCGGTGGTTGACTATGGACTCACGGTGTGAGTACCACAATGACCGGTGGTCATTCAGCGTCTCAACCGGTGGTTGAGGTTATTGCTCACGGTGTGAGTCTTACATTGACCGGTGGTCAATTCATCATTTTTCAACCGGTGGTTGAAGCAGCACTCACGGTGTGAGTGACGTGCTATATCGTCATGGTTGCCGTCGGGGATGGCTCGAGTGAACCCGGTGGGTCAACAATCAGTTGTGCAACAACATGCACTTATTTTAGGGGTTGCACTATGGAGTATCCACCCCTTTCATGGTTGGTCTAACGTCCAATGGCGCTGTCAAGATTTTATTTTGCAAGTTTTTACTTTTCCCCTCAACATAAGGGATACTGTTTGTGGTTCGTGGATCATCAGCTATTTTGTCCTTTGTCTACGTGGTGGTGCCATGGCGTCTGACAATTTGGAAGATGTTTTGATACAGAGTGGGGTGGACTCGGCCCTCACGAGCTCACTTATGATGGAGGGATGGTCCTGTCAATCGTTTCGCATGGCAGCCGCTGACATTCATGGATTTGAAGATGTTCTCCAGGAATGGTCATCTTCTACTCCTTTGTCGGTATTCCAGAAAGCATGCCTCCGCACGGCCTTTCAGTCGCTCCAACCTCAACAAGGACCTAGTGCATCGGCTTTGTCCACCCCAACAATGAGCACTACCACTCCAGCCGGGTCGTGGGCAGAAGCTTTTCCTCCCAAATTGGAGAATGCCGTGTTGCAGGCGATGAAACAAAAATTCATGGCCAACTATCCATCGGAGTTGATCCATGCAGACCTTTTTCCATCGACCAGATTAGTGAGCTTGGTTCATGACCAGCTCTCCAAGAAGGTTTGGAAATGGGTGCCATGGAAGTATCGCATCTCGCTCACCAGGTCAGAGGAGATTTCTAGCAATCGAGCTCAGAAGATGCCAAAAATTGACCACCTGGGGTTACACTCCTTATTATTTGATGATCCTCCCTCCATCGACGTGTCCAACAACGCCATGGGGGTGAACTCGATTCGCAATATGCTCGAGGTTCATGATCGTGCCATTGCCTTGTGCCAAGGCGCTCACCTCGCCAATCTCAAGGCCTATACCCACAAATTCATCGGGTTTTTGACCGCCAAGTATGATGGAGACTTACGTAACCCCAGTGTATTGGAGGCTCAACATGCAGACCAAAAAATTTGGACGGTCATTGCCGAGCTCATGGAACGAGGATGGAACATGGATGATTGCTTGCATGAAATGACGAATTTACGTCATGACCTACCAAGTCTCCTTCAACCACGACCTCGCGTGTTCAAGCCACTCCCATCACCATCTTCTCAGACAGCTTCCCCTCGTGGTGATGGACCGAAAGGCAAAGGCCAAGGGAAGTCAAAGGGCAAGCAGAATTCCGGGAAGTCCAAGGGCAAGGTCCAATGGCTCACGGAGATTCAACGGGATGGTGGTTTCAAGCAACTCTGCATGCGATATCAGGTGGGCAAGTGTCAGACTCCCAACTGTGGCTTTCAACATTTGTGTGCGTGCCCAGTTGATGGAAAAGCTTGTGGCAAAAATCATGGGGCGATGTCCCATTTTGCCACCCCGCACTGACTCCCCAAAGGGGATAGTGACCCAGGTTTCACCATGCATGATCCATTCAATGAGATTGACTCCGTGGAGACTCTCCCAGTGCATGAAGTGGACCCAGTTCAAGACTTTGCCCCACCTAGTGATAGTTTTACCCGGGGCCGTTTGTCCCAACCCGAGCAGGCGAATGCGGAAACAGATATCACTGCCACCGTCCCCATCACAGCGGAATCCTTGGTTTCCTCTACGTCAATTCCACCAACCATTTCAACTTCAATTTTAAAAACAGTTCCCTCAGGCAAATTTTTTCTCGATGTTTGTTCAGGTGTTACACGTCCGTTGTCGACAGCTGTATTGGAGCATGGCCACTCAGTTCTTTCTTTTGATGTTTTATTGGATTCGTCTATGGATATTTTATCAGATGCGGCCTATGAGGATTTGTTGCGTGTCGCATCCAGTGGTCAGGTTGGTTATGGAGCGGCCAGCCCTTCCTGCTGTGAATATAGCAGACTCAAACTTCGAAATGATGACGGTCCCAAGGCTCTACGATCACCAGAGCACTTGTCCGGTCTGCCCAATCTCACACCCTGGGAACTGCAACGTGTACAAGAGAGCTTTATGATGCTCTCTCGCTGTGTCGAGGTCCTCATGCTCTCTCGCTGTGTCGAGGTCCTCACCCTGGTTTTTCAAGCAGGCGGGCACGTCCATCTTGAACAACCCTTGAACGCCATGTCATGGTTAGAGAAGGTAGTACGCCAATTTCTGCAATTGATTGGGGCTTCCTGTATCAACGTGGCAGCTTGCGCCTATGAGATGGATGTTTACAAAGCCTGGATGTTTGCCTCGAGTTTTACAGGTCTTCGACCATTAGGCTGCATTTGTCAACATCCCCCTAATTCTCATGTTCGCCTTCAAGGTCTCCGAGACGATTCTGGTGCTTTTGCCAGTCGGGCGACGGCACAATACCCACAGAAACTGGCACAATTATTTGCCAACCTCGTGGCCCCATTACTGGACACATCAGCGTTGGACCTACAATGGTCATCTTTGGATGCCCTCATGCCAACCAAGCACCTGCCAGAGTATCCATTTGCGCAAATCGATGGGGGTGGAGCTTTTTCCCACCCGGACTGGAGTCAGGATAATCGTCAAGAACACGACTGGTTCAAGATGCTCCGCACTTCGTGGATGAACAGGATCATCTCTGAGCGATTGGATAAGATCCTACTTGCGCATGTGGCGTCGGGCAACCCTTCACCTCCTTTTTCGATGGAAACTCTGACTCCATTCAAGGATGATCTGGAGAAATTCTTGGAGGCACATGGACATACACCAGATTGGTCAGTTCGACAACATCAACCAATACATCTTCATATTTTACATTCTTTACAAAAGATTATGCATGACGTCGATTTTACATTATTACCCAGTTTATTGGAAGGTGTTCGAACTGGTTTTTCCGAGGCAATTCCTCCGTCGGGTATTTTTCCACCCAAAGAACGTACGGATATAGAACCCGATCCATTGTCAGCTCACCTCTCCAACTGGCAGAGTGCTGAAGAAGATCTACCATTAACCCGAGAACTGGTTCAGGAAGAAATTGACAAGGGATGGGTTTTTTCATATCAAGGTTCTTTGGAAGAAGCACAACAAGAATATCCGGCCGGAGTTGCTATTGGAAAATTGGGAGTGGCTCGCTCTGATAGTCGAGCCCCCCGATTAGTTGTAGACTCCAGCGTATGCGGCCTCAACGGTCGGTGTATCATACCGGAGAGGTCCACCCTCCCGACTGCCAAGGAGGTGTTACGTAGCTACCCTCTACGTCAGTGTCAGAGGAATCTAATGGGATTTTCTTTAGACGTTAAGGCTGCTCATAAAAGAATAGTTCTACATCCGGACGAATGCGGATTGGTAGGCTTTTCGTTAGAAGGACAGCTCTTCTTCTATAGAGTTACCCCATTTGGTGCAGTTTTCTCTGCCTTTTGGTGGGCGAGATTGGGTGGACTCCTTCTCCGTATATTTCACCATTTGATCTGGTTGAGTCACACGGGATTTCTATATGTGGATGACTTCTTATTCTTTATGGAAGCCAACATGATGCCGCTGTCAGCCACATTGTTGTGTATTTTTTGCCAGCTTTTGGAAATTCCTATCAGCTGGAAGAAGACGGCCATGCACTCTTCCATTGACTATATTGGCTGGAAATTCAATTTCAATGCAGGTATCGTGACAATCCCCATTGAAAAGATCCTCAAACTCCGAGGATACATCGAACATCTTATTTCCCAGCCACGAACTACTCGCAAGTCTTTGGAGAAACTTATTGGCCTGGCAATGTGGATTACTCAATTATTTCCCCTCATGCGGATCTGGATCCACTATTGGTACCACGACCTCTACACCATCCCGGCGACACATTTCAGTATTGATGCTGGTACATGGCCTCGCATTCATCAATATTTAACACCTAATTTGACTTTTCATACAGCACCTTTGGGCTCCGCTATACCTATTTCAGGCAAGCTTATTGCAGTTCGACATCAAGCGGTATCCTCATTGGCGGATCTGACATTGTTACATATCAAAACGGATAACAGGATTTGGCTCAGGATTATCAATCCGAATTCCTCCAAACGCAAGCTTCGTCCTGATTCTCTTCGCATTTTGAAGTTATTTGAACATTGGCTGATGGGTGTTTCTCCATCTCGACCAATGAGAGCGAAGCCATATTGGAATGGCGTTGCGGCAGCCGATGCATGTGCATCGGGTTCCTATTGCCAAATTGGAGGTTTCATCCGTCATCCTTCAGGAGTTCAATTTTGGTTTTCTGAGAAATTTTCCCATGCTGATTTTGACACTTTGTCAATTCATTTAGACCCAAATATGCAACGAAGCATTGCTTCTTTTGAAACTTTAGCCCAAATTGCTTTAGTTTGGCTGGTGGCCACATCTTGGTTTTCGTATTCCGATTTGTGTGAAATCCCTGAGCGACAATACGGGAGCAGAGAGCGTGAGCAACAAATTATTCACTACGACTCATCCTCTATGTCTCTTTGTCGAAATCCTCACGTGCCTGGCTTCGACAACTGGTATTGAATTGGATGTGAGCCATATTCCTGGCGCGGACAATGTCATAGCGGATGATCTGAGCAGATGGGATTTTTCCACTCCCATCCCACATGAATTTCAACCAAGTGAAAGGATTCATCTTTCACTCAATCAACTATTTCGTTGTTTACCTCAACCAACATTGCATCCTCCTGATTCAAAACTTCTTTGGAAACTCCCACATCCTCTTGTGATGTGATCTGCTGGAATGGTTCTCACTTCTGGTTTGGGCGTGTTTGGGCGATAACCATTATACCAGATAGTTGTTGTTTGGGTTGTTGATGCCATCTGGTCAAATGGTTTCGATTGAAGTATGGTCGAATCCAAACTGGATCCAACAGTGGGACAAACCATCCAGCAGATGAAAAGGGAGTGCGTTCTGAGATCGGAAGCGAGACATGGTCAAGCGGGAGGATTGAAGTTTCAGTTGTTTTTTGTGTTTTGGTTTGTTTGCGTTTTCTTTGCGGTTTCTAGATCTTGTCTCAAACAAATGAAAGTCCTTGAAGAACGTTTAATGTACTTGTTCATTGTGTTTTGCAAGGAACTTCTTTGTGTTTCTATTCCATTTTGGCTCAAGGACTTTCATTTGTGCGTATACATTTTTCGTTTCCCTCCCTCCCTCACCTTGTTCTCAATTCTTTACCACTATTGTATCAATAGTTCGATCTAGCTGTTTCACCCCATTTCTCTCATTGCTGTTCCGACTTTTGTTTCATCTGTGAAGCCTTTGTGCTCCTGGTTCTTTACAGTGCGTTGCACTAACAAACCGAGTGACGTGATGTCACGTTCAGTATTGTGACTGCTTCTATGGCAATGCACAATCGTGCATCGGTGATGTCATCTCACCCGAATGGGTTGTTGATGCCATCTGGTCAAATGGTTTCGATTGAAGTGTGGTCGAATCCAAACTGGATCCAACAGTGGGACAAACCATCCAGCAGATGAAAAGGGAGTGCGTTCTGAGATCGGAAGCGAGACATGGTCAAGCGGGAGGATTGAAGTTTCAGTTGTTTTTTGTGTTTTGGTTTGTTTGCGTTTTCTTTGCGGTTTCTAGATCTTGTCTCAAACAAATGAAAGTCCTTGAAGAACAGAGGGGTTCCAGAAGTGTTTGTTGATGGTCTTGGTAGGGCAGCTGATTCGTCGTTTGTGACTCCGCAGCCATTTGATGTTTTGCTTGGTTTTGGTGTTCAACAATCAAATCATGGAAATTCACAGCAATTGGATGTCTTCGCCAAAAGCGAAAAATGGTTGACACCGGCACCAACACCAGTAGGAACTTGGAAGACAAGAGAAGAAGAGGTGTTAGGTTGGGCTGGCTATTTGGATGAGTTGTCATCCAGGGCAGCTGGTGGAAGCTTAGAATTTTCTGTCAAAATCCAGCATAGTAGGCGTTGGCCCGGTCCTATCAGATGGAGTGCTCTCAGTGGAGCACAACAGGCAAGGTCTCGAAGGCTTATGTCCATCTTAAAAGCTGCGTTTCACGACAACCCCAGGTGTGTGGCGTTGGTGAACGCCTTCAGTGAGGGTGTGGCATTACATGGAGTAGGATCTAGTGACAGAGTGGCAGTGGCAGTAAACCAACAAGCAAACGGGTTTGAGCTGCTTAGGCAACTTACTCTTGAATTTTCTCTGAGGTCAAGATCCGAAGCGCTCTCACTAAGGACGCAGATTGCAGGGAGATCCTTTGTCCTGGCGGCGACACAAACATCGCCGAGTTCCTTGGTTAGTGATACTATCAGAAGAATTGATTATGAAGCCGCAGGGTTTCAAGGTTGCTAGGAACTCTCCCTATGCAGGTGGACACCACAGGACTGAAGCTGGCAGACTCAGACATGCTAGTTGTTCTGTTGAAAAGCCTGCCTGAAACAGCGAAGAATTATGTCCTCCACCACAGCGGCGCAGACAACTATGAGTCTTACCGGAACGCTGCGATGCGGTGGGAAGAGCAACAACGCCTGTTCAGTGATTTCGAGACAACAGGTAACAATAAGAAAGTGAACTCTCTGGAGGGGAATGCAGAGAACCATTCCTTTGATGAGTTCGGCGTCGACGCGGTAGAAGGCCGATGCGGGAAGTGCGGAAGCAGAAGGCACACGCAGGATCTTGCACCGCGGACGTCAGTAAGATCAGATGCTTTCGATGTGGGAAAGCAGGACATGTCAGTTTCAATTGCCCTGAGAATGGAAAAGGTAAGGGAATTGTAAAATCTGACACGTGGGACAAGAAAGGTTCCAAAGGAAAAGGCTCTAAAGGTAGCAAAGGGAAAGGAAAGAAAGGCAAATTGAATGAAGTTTCAGAGGATTGGACCGACTGGACTGCTGAGAGTTGGGACGATGGTGACTATTGGTGGCATGACCAATGGCCGGAGAGCTGTGATGGTCAATGGGGAGTTTCGCAGACATGGTGGGACGATGGTTCTGGATGGTATGGCGACGGGTATGGATATACCTGGCAACAGGGACCAGTCCAAAGTGCGGAACCGAGTGCAAGTCACGACAATAGGTCTGATGTCCAAAGGACTGGCAGTGTCGGCAGCATGATCATAAATCCTTTGTTGTATGATTTGACATGTGAAACCACTGGAGGTCTTAGGTTTGTGCATGAGCATGAGTTTGCTGACATGGAAACCGAAAATGGGCTTGTGGTTGATTGCAAAGACTTTGAAAGTGAACTGACTGACATGGGTTGTGTGCTGGCAAGAGGTTGCGACAGCTGTACTCATGAGTCAGAGTTTTCAGAAGATGAGCCGACTGACACGGGTTGTGTGCTGGCAAGAGGTTGCGACAGCTGTACTCGTGAGTCGGAAGGAGTGAGAAGTGAACTGGCTGACATGGGTTGTGTGCTGGCAAGAGGTTGCTGTACTCTTGGGTCAGAGTTTTCAGAAGATGAGCTGACTGACACGGGTTGTGTGCTGGCAAGAGGTTGCGACAGCTGTACTCGTGAGTCGGAAGGAGTGAGAAGTGAACTGGCTGACATGGGTTGTGTGCTGGCAAAGAGTTGCGACAGCTGTACTCATGAGCCATGGTTTTGTGGTTTGAAGTTTGGAGATGAAGTTGGACTTGGTGATAGTTCCAACTTAGAAACACGTTTTGTTAATGACCCCAGCCGAGACTTGTGTGCCACTGTACCGATGAAAGTCGTTTTGGTGCGTGCACATGATTGGTTTGACGAGCACAGAGAAGTTTCGGTTGAACAACAGATTAAACCTTATTTCACAGGTCGCTGACAACACTGATGCTTCTTGGTGGCTTCTTGACTCTGGTGCATCTACAAGTGTTTTGGCTGAGTCGAACTTGTCAGCCTTCAGGTCAGTGCTGCAGGACAGTGAGGGGTTAGGTGGCTACAAAGCTGCCAATGGATCCTCAGTCAACATGTCAGGCACTGCTGAGATTGGAGTACAGATGCACATGTCAGGCACATCAGGTGATGATTGGTGTTGGAAAAAGGCACGTTTGAATGTTTTGGTGGGTTCCATCCGGCACAACATTTTGTCAATCACTTCATTGGCAGATTCGGGATGGAGATTCACACAAGGTCCAAAAGGTTTTGATTTGTTTCATGAGAAGCTTGGAATGCATTGTCTTGATGTTGCATATTTTGCCAATTGTCCTTGGGTTCGTTTGTGTCCAGATGTTGGTAGTAGTAGTGCATACAGGTCTGACTTGACTGTGAGTAATACTCATGACTTTTCTGTCGCAGCTGTGTCTGGAGGAGACGACAATGAACTGGCACGTCACCGGAGACAGGGACATATTCCATTCAATCCGAATTGCTTGGAATGTGCCAAAGGTCGTTCCGTTTTTCAGCACAGAAGAGACAAAGGTGACAGGAAAGAGGTTTCAATTCAGGCCGATTTTGCATTCCTCAATACAACAGGTGAGATCGTTGCAGACGAACTTCCAGGTTCTGTGAAGATCCTCGTGTTAACTGAGATGATGTCGAGGTGCATTGGCTATGTGGTGGTTGGAGAAGATGTCGAAGCAGCCAGGAGACAGATTGTTGTATGGCTTCAACATTTTGGCTTGACTTCGAAGGCAGTCTCCATTGATGTCCACACCGATAGCGAGAGGGCCGTGGGAGAGATCATTGGAAATTCCACTGGTCGATACACGTTCGCTATTCGCAGAGCCGCGCCACAGCAACATCGATCAATTGGGTCGGCTGAGCGAGCAGTTAGGGAATTAAAAGAATCCTTTTCTGTATTAAGAGCTGATCTGAATGCACAAGGGTTGGATGTCACGTTTTCACATGAGAATTTGGTTGATGTTTTGACGTATTTGGCTTTGTGCAACAACCATTTTTCAACATCGAGAGGTTCAGACAGAAGTCCATTGGAAATGGTTTCAGGAAGGAAGTTATCCAAACCAGTTTCGACTTTGTTTGGTGCTCAGGTTCTGGCCGAAATTCCTGATTCAATTCGGCAGCATTCACCACTTTCAACAAGGAATGTTGAGTGTACTTTCATTCACATGGGATTGGAACGAGGTCCAGTTGTGCAGGGTCTCATTCGTGTGGATGGCAAAGCTGAGTTGATGCGTTTTGTAGCTAGGAACATCAGGGCTATTTCACCTTTGAGATGGGATTTGAATTCGGGACAGGTGTTTTGACGCAGTTTGACACTGGGACTGTAGGTAGTAGACCCCAAATTGTGAATGACAGTGGAACTGCACCAGCTGATATGAGTCAGCTACCTCCTGAAGAGTTGCGAAAGTTGAAAGGTCAGAGTTTGCCGGCACCTTCACAGCCCAAACTTGTCTTGCCAGAGTCCAGCAGTGTGAAGAAGAAATCTGGTGAGTTGCGTTTGGCGCCAGCAGTGCCGTTAGCAAGATCGAATGTTGTCGTGACTCCACAGGAAGTTCCAGCAGAGCCGTCTCGAGTTTCTGTCACTCCATCTCCTACGTCACCAGCAGATACTGCAGATGTAGCCATTGGTAGTCCTGAGAGTTCTGAAAGAACTTCACCTGACGTATCACGTTTTGAACCGACTC